ACACACACACACACACACAAAATCACACTTAACACACATGCATGTGCAAGCTCCGCATGTAAATGTGTACACATCCTCAGACTGGCATCTACAATTAGAGGCCTGCGTGGGGGATTGTAGATGTGTGATTAGTTTATTTCACTGTGGTGTGTGTGTGTGCGTGCGTGTGTGTGTGTGTGTGTGTGTGTGCGTGTGTGTGTGTGTGTGTGTGTGTGTGTGTGTGTGTGTGTGTGTTTTTTACCATCCCTTTTCTCTTCATTAATGTCAGTTAAAACCGTCCTGCCCCTTTGTTCTTGCCGGGTGCAATCACACACACACACACAGCTGATCAAAGCCACATCACAGTAAACCGTGGCGTGTGTGTATGTACATGTGTGTGTGTACGTTTGTGAGTGTGTGAGTGTGTTTTAAATAAATCACAACCCAAATTGAATCAGAGACTAAAATTATATCAACTGTTTTACACAGAAATATAAGTTTTGTTTTTTTTAAACTAAGCTTCACAGTGCTTATTAGTTTTGAGAATGAAATCACCATGTTATTGATCTGAGTATTTAACGTCTTCATGAGATGTTGGTGTTGATTTGATAGAGTTTGACCTGGTGACGATTCTTCCTCATTATTCATGGACGTGTTTTCCTTCTATAAATCTTTACCCATTAGTAAGAAACAGCCTTTTACTTTCACCTCAACTTCTCTGTCTGCATTTACTGTTTATTTTTGGTTCCACATTACAACTGCAACTAGAGTCTGAGAGATTATTCACCACAGACTTTATGTTTGATTAAAAAATGTTTGGGCTCAGTTCACCTGGACCTGGACCTATAGCTGCTGATGTCACAATCATGCTTGGCGGTGAATGAGGCGTTACCTCTCCGTTCTCCAGAGGGTGAATCTTTGAATAAAATGACGTGCAGATAACTTCATCGTCCCTGGTGTAGGATGGAGGTCCTCTGCGTGGATTAATGTTGAATCGTGTCAGGCACTCCGTCTCCGTGATGGCGTAGTACTGCCAGGGTTCAAAGGTCACACCGTCTATCGAACGCTCTAACACCCAGTTACCTGCAGACGAAAACATTGGTGGGGGGAAAAAAAAAAGATGAAATGAGGAGAAGAGGAAAGATCAATAGATATAATAATGGATGTCCACGCCTGTGTTCTGGGTCACCTGAATTAAAATACATAGAAAATTGACAGAACATTCAATTCCGCATGTTCCCACAACATTTGCACACAGAGCGTGTTTATAATACGACAGTAAAATGCATTGTAATGGATGTGACCTTAAATTAACAGTGGATTCTCAGTGGGACAGTCATTTGCTCAAACCGTTATAATTACAGTATTTAACAGCTCCTGCGACAAAGGCTAAAAATAAGTGCGTTGCTTGCACTTGAATCACATAGTTATTGTTTCGTTGCATAATCAAAGCGGTAATGATAACCGCTGACACAGTGTGAGGCTGTCCAAACACAATTCATGAGTGCTCACCCGGGCGAGGAGAGTTGGCTGCTTTGATGATCAAATAGGCGATCTGGAAAACCTTTAAAAACACAAAGAGGGAGAGAGACGACGGGATTAATGAAAGACTATTTAACCTCGAATATTCAGGTACCTGCAGAAACAACCATGTTTCTTTGGAGAGAACACTCAACACAGAACTCTCTGTCTGGAGACCTCCGGCAGGCAAACTCTGGGTCCTCCTTCAAGTCTCCTCTTTAGAATCACTGTTATCGAATTTTTTACTGTTGGGATTCGTTTTTTAACAATTTCCTATTATAACTTGTGAATCTTGTAACTTTTGTTAGTGTAAAGTAAAAGCTTTTGAAAAGCACCAGGAGGAAGATATCGAAATAACAGACCCGTCCTGACCACGAAACAAACTGTACCTCTAAAAGTATAATGACCGAAGCGCATACTGTGCATACACTCAAAATGCAATAACATCTTCAGTTGTAAGCAAAAACATTTGACCTTTTGAGGCGGAATCTCAAATGACTTGTTTATAGCCTGTTGTGTATAAATAAGCAGAGAAACAGGAATAAAAACTGGAATAAAAACAGGAGGGCTGGATACACTGTTTATCATCTGATTTGTATCTCTGTATTTCTGTTTCTCCTACAATAAAATGTGATGATGTTTGTTTTGACAGACATCATCACAGTTTCATCAGCAAACCGACAGAAACAAACATCAGATGTGGGTCAAATGTTGACTCTCTGTCGCTCCTGTTCACCTCCCCGTCCTTCACCCCATTCTGAGTATCTCTCTCTCTTTCTCTTCTCACCATGTGGGAAGCAGTGTCACATTGCAGCAATTAGAATGGGGAGAAAGCTGCTGTGTGTGTGTGTGAGAGAGTATTTCAGGGTAACCTTATAGCAGTCATTCAACCACCCTACAAAGAGTCACTGTTACCTGTATTCACACTCATGACGGAATGTTGTGTGTGTGTGTGTGTGTGTGTGTGTGTGTGTGTGTGTGTGTGAGTGTGTGTTAAAGAGAGCTCTCAGCGGTAGCTTGTAATATGGTGACAGCTTTGGGACAGCTAGGCAGCTCCAGCAGCTAAACATAGATGAACACAGCTAACTAATACAGTGTGTGTGTGTGTGTGTGTGTGTGTGTGTATGTGTGTGTGTGTTTCATCAGATGTGGATCAGACGAGGGATCTTTTTTCACGGCTCAGCTCAGCATCAACAAAAACACACCAACAACCGTCCCAGTAGAAATCACGAGGCCGATAAATAAATGTTCATCTTGCAGTCCTGACCTTTAATGTCAGAAAGGTCGGCGTGTGGTGAGTTCACATCATGAACACATTTCAATCTGACAACGCTGATCCTGAGTAACAACCTCAAACTACCAGGAAATCTGCAAGTTTCATCAAGTTATCTCACTGGATAAAGACGAACCAACTAATTACCAACCTAGCTTGTACTGGTTTGGTCACAAAAGACAAGATAAGCTGGAGATATCAGCTAGAAAACTAATTTGAGATGTTAAGGTTAAGATAACGACCCGAGCCTGAATCTAATTTCAAAATGTTTGTTCAAACTCTAGTTAAGAGTCTTTACCGCTGTTTTGTGTTCTAGTGCCACTTTCAGCCACTGACATCAGCGTAATAAAGCTACTTAATTGAAAATATTGTAAAATTAAATTATTGGATTAGATATATGCAAAATAATTCCCAGTCGACATAGAAACACAAAACATGTCAACAAATTAATGCACAAACAGGGGCTGCTGTCATGAAACAAAAATATAAAAATACATATATTTATATATATATATATCAAATATTAATAGCCCTCTTCTGAGCAGTAGTTTGATCTCAAAGGGAAAAACAGCAGATCTGCATGTACTAATTACATTCAGTGACTCCAGTGGCTCGTTTATCCCCAGATGAGCTGATTAATTGTTCACCAATACAAAAACACAGATTCTAAAATTAACCACTGACTCAATTTGGTTATTTTTATATTTCAGATATTACTTCAGACTGTTTTTTACCCAGTTTATAAAGGTTTTGGAAAATGCCTGCGTATATATCTGTATCTCCTCTTTTAATAATTAAAACCACACAAATCGATAAGCATGTTTTTTTCCACACGGTTTTCATGACAAACCAGGAAATGAATTTTGAGCCTAAAAGCTTAATGTGCACTTAGATTGTTTATGTCAATGCTCAGTCAGTTCTTTAAGCCCTGTGTCCAGTATGGACGGGTTGTCTACAATCAAATGGACCGTGAAGAATCCACTTTGTCTCCGTGGGACCTGGAACCACAGTTACAGCGGTTTCACCACAACAGCTGGTGTTTACAGGCCATTCACATGGAAACGTGTTAAAATCTCTCTGGCTTGACAAACTGGCATCAAACTCCAATTCCAGTTAGCTCTCCAGCCAATTAGAGCTGCATGTGCTCACAGGAGAACAAAAGACTGATGGGAAACAAACTGGAATCAGATTTAAACGTGATGAAAATAAGTAAACGCAATGACGACAATAATTTTTATTTTTTTAAATCACAAGGTTTTGGCAGCGACGTGCAGACGCACAGGTGGACACGCTGTCAAAGTAACAGAGCTGGAATGCAGACTCGTTAAAATTTACTGTCACTTCAAATAAAAATGTGTTAACATCTCGCCGGACTAATAAAGTAGCTTTTGGCCCAGTTCTAAATGAGGTGAATCATCCAGCAACTGCTGCTGCCAAACTTTGTGCAGGCAAACAAGCAGAAGATATTAACTGGAGCCGCAAAAGTCATCTCATCACGAGATCATTCTGCTTCTCCACTGGGCTGCTGAAAAAAAAAACAATTTGAGAAGCAAACGTTTTAGAGTAGGGTTCAATATTTGAGTGAATTTCAGACTAAATCATATAAAATAGGCTACAGATGATTGTGCTATCGGCTTGAAACGGTGGAGAGGCGTGAGAGGCTGAGAAATGGCCTGGGTGTGTAAAAGCCAACTGGATCCACTCTACTTCTCTATCGGAGCTGCCCACAACACACTCGCGCACACAAATCTAACACGTACACACATTAACACGCTCACTCGCAGACTTGGCTGTAATTTGGCCTTAAGCTTTTTAAATAGGCTTTCGTCTGCACAAAACACCAGATGCTGCAATCGCTCCCACATTCTTGCTTTGGCCCGAGCTACTGTCAAACATTACACCAACAAAAGTTTCATTGGGTGCAGCAGATGTTTCATTTACCTTCTGTCTGTTATGAACAGAGATATTTTTTTCTCATATTAAAAGTTCTGACCATGAACCATGTGCAGCGAAAGGTAAAATAAAAGCTCGAGAGATGTTTTCATCCAGACACTGGGTCGTTTTCAAAAATGTTGAAATACTGTTTAAGACACAAAATGGATGTTTAACGAAGCTTTAACTATTGAGGGTGAAAGTTTACAGAGTTTGAGAACTGGGGAACTTTTTAAAATCATAATGATTAGAAGACAAGTGGGACCTAATTAAACAGTCTTTTATTTTTTTATCAACCATGTATTATCCCCTATATGAAACAGAAAAAATTAAAATCTTGCAATGTTACAGTGATTTAATGGATTCTTTATCGACCCGTGTCACATCTGTACAAACAAACCAACCAACAAACAGACAGGGGTGAAAACAAGAGCTCCTTCGTCGAGGTGACAATAATATCATTTACCAACCTGAGGGTCTGAAGCTAAATTAGATTCAGTTGGGATTTCCGTCCGTGCTGCACAGTAGATTCAGTCAAGAGAAAAAGAACACAAGAAACCACAAAAAGCTAAAAATAACTCTGCAGAACTGAATTGGTGAATTCCCCCGAAGGAGCAACAACACATAGAAATCTCTCAAATCATAAACGTAGCAAAGACCTGTTGACCCCATTTACTTCTTTCCCTCATATGACTTCTCTGTCCCTCATCTAACCCTGCTCTTCCGGAATGAACATGCACTGATGCACATGTTCTGAGTGAGATTACTGTGGACACCAGGGAAATCCAGCACACTACAGGGTGAAGAGCTTTCTGTTGGACTGATAGAGACACGGAGACACACAACACCCCCACTGAGGCATGCACATGTTCACCCAGACACTAATGGTATTGAAAATACGGCCAATCGGGCGTGAGGTGGATCCATTACTTGGACCAATACGAAATTGACTCAGGTAATAAACTAAGTTACTAAATGAGAGAAGGATCGATTACAATCTCCTCTAATCAAACTGTAGTGCCGGGGTCTCATGTCCACAGATTTTAGAGATCAACAGCTTTCGAATATAAGCTGAGTTTCCTGCACAGGCGCGGACTGAAACGTGTTTTTCTAACACGTGCAGGACCGTCGGGCCGAGAACCGACCACATGGAATTTTTTACCATTAAGCTGTCATCTGTATGACAAAGGATTTTTTAATTCACATGCAAAACGTCAAATAGATTATTGATCGTTGGTGTTGCTGCACCTCTCGATCAATCAATCATGTGAAGCACACACGGAGGAGGAAATGCACAGATTTATGACGAGAGAAAAAAAAATCTAATGCAAATGTCAAGCCAGCGACATGTCAGTACTGATTATGTTGTAATATTTGGTTGCTTCCGTATCTCGTGATTTGTAGCGACATTAAGTTCTGATCCAGGAACTGGGTGTCGAACGTAGAATAAACCCTTCCTGTTACTTTAGATGTTTTATTTTGATTAATGCAGATATTCAAAAGTTTTGCATAATCTGTTCATTACTGACGCTCTTGTTAGGTTTGTTTAAAATATTACAATACTTGTGGAGTCATTCAAGCTTTTAGTTGTTATAACATTTAGAATATGACTATTTAGATTTAACCAAATAATTATTACATTTTTTTGCTTCTTTCTTAATTTGTAATTCTGCTTTCATTCGGTAGTTCTGGATAATTTAGAGGACAAAAAAGAATCAAGGAGAGAGACACAGAGGTACAACATGCAAAGTGGATGACGCAAAGGTGATAGAAATTAAAATGGGTATTGCATATTTACGGTTGTAGTTTTTGGTACTGAAATCACAATTTTAAAAAAAGCACCAGTTTCAATTTGCCATTTGTTCATATGTTATATGCAGATGACTGTTTGAACTGTTAGCTCAGTAGGTGGTCACAAAGAGTACACTGACATTTAAAAGCTTTTAAAGAACCTGTGACAAACTGAGTAGAAGAAGGATTTTGTTCAATCTCTCTCTTCTCTGGCTGTCAGTGGTTGTTGTATTGATTTCACTGCATTCCTATGAAACTGGCTCAGAGAAAGTGGATAAAAGAAAGAGGAATTTCGGTTTAATGACTGTATATAAAAGACAGGACTCCCAAAACTGTAAAGCCAAAACATGTCCACACCCCCCCAGTCATTTTTAGTTTTTTCTTATCAAACCGATGTATGTTCAAATGTACATTGTTCAGATAAGCTTGGATTTAATGAGAAACTGAGTAAGATGATTTTCAACTGGGATTGACTTGCGATTGGTCGGCGGGTGAATCACAAAGATCTCGATACCGCAGCTCAACCCGTCCTTTTACCAGATTTCTGACTGGCATCTCTTAATCAACTCATTAGTTTTATTTTAGTGACATTCATATAAATATAATCACCCAGTCTAATATGTTTAATCACTAAATAACTGCTCCTGAGCTTTCTTCGTTAAAGTATTTAGGAATGAAAATACACTGTATTCTGGGCTATTCTCAACCAAGTACTACGAATTGTCCAGTGTTTAACAGTGCTTTAGTAGCCGTCTGGGCTTAATGCTGATAAATGAACCTTGATAATGGAAAAATGTTTATAGTTTGTCTCTTTCCAGATAATAGAGGCTGTGGCGAGCTTTGATCAATGGTGCTTACGGTGGATTCCAATAATAACAAGTCACCATTAAAAATACTTTGCCACCAACATAAATTCAAGATGACCGATGCGACAAAGAGAGGATGCGTAAAACTAAGAGGACAGATTTTCAGTGGAGAAGCACTTTAAATTTACTTTGGTGTTAAGACTCCATAGAACAAATGTCTGAGTAAAAAGAGTCTCCAGTGCCGTCGTGAATGTAATGGACTGATAAATGGAATCTATTTGTACGGTCTGTTCCAGTCTCATCGACTACACATTCATGAAGCTCTTCTGTGCGCAGCCTTTTCTCAACAACACACCGTTCACACACTGTCAGCGGGGCGGAGTTTGATATCCTGCCCGAGGTGCTGGGGATCAAACTACAGACCCGCTCTACCTCCTGAGCCACCGCCGCCCTGTGTGTGTGTGTATATGTGTGTGTGTGTGAGTTTACCTGTTTCAAGTCTAGCGTGATTGTCACATAGTGGTACTCCATCCCATTCTTGATGGAGGGACTTTGCCACCAGCGGTTGGTCCCATCGATGGCGTATTCTATGGGATGATGCTCTGAACACACACACACACACACACACACACACACACACACACACACACACACACACACACACTATTGACTGGGAGCTGTCAATCATCAGGCTACTTGTGTGTGACACTTCTGTTAAAAACAATGGAAAACAGTAAATAACCGAATCATTGACTGAATAACTGACGGTCTAATTGGGCTGTTTGAATTATGATTGCAGGCTAATTTTGTATTGTCATTCTGTCATGTTGCGATTGATTCCTCAGTTCATTCAGTAATTATCACTTCAGACAAAATGATTGGTTAACATCTGGCCAATCTGGCTCTAATTAACTAATCTGGCATGATTAATTACTGTAATCATCATGACTATGAGTCGTGTGTGTGTGTGTGTGTGTGTGTGTGTGTGTGTGAGAGAATCTTTCTTACCGACTGGTTTCGCGCTCCTCTGGTTGCAGATTCGACACTGAGAGTTTTTAACGGGCTGACCCGGTACATGTTCCACCAGCTTACAGAACATCTCGGGACCCGTTGAACCGCAGGTAGCGTTCGCCGTGATGTCCGCCATGGAGGCCAGGTTCAACACGGCCGGAAACAGTCCTGGGGAAGAAACCGGGGATTTTAAACAAACAGAAAAATAGATGATGAAACACAAACACAGCTGCATCCATTAGTGCTGACATCTGCTCCACGGAAAGACGCAGCAGCTTTTCTCTCCCTGAAGTAAACACGGAGTTAAAAAAGGTTCCATATTTTGGGAAAAAAAGAAACACTTGTTTATTTTTTACAAACTCATGTCAATCTTCTCGTCTGATAGAAAACAGCGACGCTTACAAACACGTCGGATAATTCTTTTAATCCGTCATATATCAAAGATGTGTGTAAAAAAAAAGAAAAAGACGTGAACACACAGAAACGACTGCGAGTTCAGTTTAATTGTGTCGTCAGATCATCATAGAAGTTTAAATGAGGTCGAACCGACTTTCTTCTTCACAGCAAAATAAAAAAAAAAAAAAGCGTTAAATTGCCAAAATGCTTCAGTGGGGGTTATTAGTGATATCCAGCACTTCCTGCTTTGCATACAGGTCTTGTATTTCCAATCATTAAAATGATGTCAGCTTCTCTGTGGAGCCTCGATTCGCCAGCAAAACGCCGTTCCTCTGTTGTTCTGAGGTTGAGAGTAATTAGCCTGCAACATGAGGGGGAGGGCAGGTGTTTTAAAGTTAGGTAATCTGGGTGTATTTCCGCTGCGGTGTAATGCAGTTAACATCATTAACCCCTATATGTTAGCGAGAGCCGTGCTCATTTCATCTCGGAGTAACAGAAGCACACGCAGAAGATTTTTGGCCGAGCCGTCAGCCGTGCAGACTTTAGGGCAGCGACTGTTCATTTACATTATGTTGCACGAGCATTTTTCCCGTTTTCATTTCCTGTCCCTGGATATTTTTCACTGCTCGAGCCACAGACTGTGAGATTGGAAAGCACATACATTATGGAGCACACCCCTTTTTTCTCAGGATGTTATGGGAGGCCATATTTTTGGGATTAGTATAATGCATGCAGAAGTTTGGTTTCCTCCCTGTTGCTCCCTTATATATCTTAAAAATCTCCATGAGAAAGGAAGAGAATATTCTTTTATATTGAACTCTTGACACAATGTGACTGCAGCTGAGATGAGTGCCCTCCAGCCATTGTTTGGCTCACGAAGGTAAGCTGTTTTCAGACGTGCGCTGAACTCACCGAGGACCAAAACGTCCCGAGTCATTCGCGCAGGACTTTTCCCTTCCTCTCCTGCTGCGTTTGTCACATGTGAAACACAAACTCAAATCTAAAATGTCCCAGACAGGACGGAGTTCATGTCTGAAAATGCTTGGGGTAATCCCTCCTCAGAGAATGTGGTTTGAAATTGCTGCAAGATGTTTAATCAGCTAGCAGGTTTTTTTGTTGACGAACTAAAAAGGCTCAACTTGCAATTTTCGTCAATTATTTTCTCTTTAATTTGAAGAAAAGAGGAATCAAGGCTCGTTCTTTTCCAAATAACAACCTGTATTGACATTTTAAAAAACTGGAAACGAGGACCATATTAAAATAATTACGATACAGATCATTTGTCATGTGTCTACACTTCAGACAGATGCTCTGACAAATGTGTGTACGCCAATAATCAGCAAGCCAAGTAGCCCGTGTTCCCCAGTTCCATTAAAACATGTGTATTTCTTCACCACACAAACGCACCATGAGACTGCACACTGTTTTATTTCAGCTTGTTGGCGTAACCCATCTGTATTGTTCCCATAGTAAAGATCACATAAGCCTCAGTGTGACAAGCTTAAAGAAATTCAAGTGCTTAATGTGCACATGGTTCACATTTCCTGTCTGGGAAACACACACAGACGAGAACATGAACGTACTGAGTTACATCAGATATCGCAGCTCTGGTTTAAAAAGGTCAAAGTGTTAAAACAACATGTGCGCTCGAACGTAAACACAGAAACGTATAAAACACACGATAACTGTACACAAAGGAGACAGACAGGAGGAAAGAGGAGATGGAAGGGGAAGCTCCTCCGTGTGTGTGTGTGTGTGTGTGTGTGTGTGTGTGTGTGCGTGTGTGTGCGTGTGTGTGTGCACGCGCGCTTTACTAGGAACTGTGTCCAGATGTGTACAGCTGTTTGGCCAGATGTCAACACTGATGAACTGTGAAGAACATCTGAGACACCCAAAATCTCTCTTTCAAACACGTGTACACATTCTCACACACACATACTCACAACATGTTACACACCCACTCGGTCAAACACTTTTTACAAATGATATCTGAGAACGCACGTCGCTGAGGGGGGAGAGACGGACACAGACATTTGTTACAGAAAACACTGACTCCCAGATAAACATCGAAGTTTACGTTGTGGAACTATAGAGAACAGAAACACTTAATCTAGATTAGTTGTTATTTTTGAGGCCACTTTTTCAGCTAAATCTTTATTTTCAAGGTAAATAATTAATTGTGCAACATCTTAATGTCAGAACATCCTGCAAACAGTCCTTCAGGCTTTAAAAGGTCGAAACAGTTGCTACGATGAACAGATTTTTCCTGGATCCTTCTTCTCCTCATCGTTATTCGAACTCCTGCCAGGAAATCAAGCCAACATCCGGCTTACTCCTGGGGTTTTGATCCACAAGCTGGAGGAGCCTCCGACCACGTACGAATGTATGTGGGAGACTATAAAAAATCTTTCAAGTGTCATTTTACCTTAAACTAAGACCACTAATACCTTTCACATGTCACAGTTGCAGAATCTTAAGGGATTTGAACAGGAACTTCACCGTTTCCAAGTTCAGACACACATTTCGGTTTGCTTCGACATCATGTTTTATAATCTAGGTAAGAAAGAGTCGGATAATGTCGCGCTTGCTTCTACAGAACATAAAAAATAACGTCTCGGGATCTGATCACGTGTCGGCCTCTGGACGCTGATAACATTTTTCTCTCGTCTCTTATGTCGAACAAACGGGCGAGTTAACAACAAAGACACGGAGAGGAATGACGAAAGGTGGGGTTCGGATTTCAGATTCACAGGGCGACAAGGACATAATGACCGTCTGCCTACGGCTCTGCAGCTGCCGCACACACACATCGACTCAGGTTCATCATCTTCCATTCTTCTCTCTCTGCTCTGATAACCATGGTAACCTGTCTGTCTGTGTCACTGTCTGTCTACTGGCTTCTCCATTGCCCGTCTACGCTCTGTTAACCCGATGTCTCACGGGATTTACTGCAATACAGCCGCTAAATTATAATACTGTCAAAATGTATAGGTGCCCCTGGTGAGAGCTGGGCGATGTCATTGCCACAGGAGGTAATTCAACATTGTAACACTGATCAAAATATCACAGTACTGCTGGGTAATTTATTTACAGTCTGATATTACACTGAGAAATAGAAGAAACTTTGCTGATGTAGCTGAGTTAAAACTTTAAAAAACTTAGTTATATAAATGTCAAGTGAACCATTTTGAAGAATTGACCTTGACACAAAGACTTGTTTGGTCTTTTCCGGAGCTTTCGGGTTTCATCTCGGTTTCATCTCGTCATCGTGTGAAAACCTTATTTACAGTGAGACTTCGCTCAATTGTCGACCGTCATTGGCCGAGTGAAAAATCCATTCTATAGTTGCATAATAAAATCTAAATCACCTCTACGACATGCTGATTCAAAGATGTGGCCGAAAGCTCCTTAAAAAATAAACAAGTACTGAAAATGGACCTTGTGATAAGAATTATTTGATTCTCTTATTTTCCTGTTTCCCCCTCATCCCTGTCTCATGAGAGTCTTGTGATATGTAGAGATTAAAAAATCCTCAAGGGTGAATTTGTGAATTTTATATTGGACGAAGCCCTCACTCATAAATCTGCCACAACTACGCGTCCATCTTAATCCTCATCTATTTACAATCCATAACTCCACCGGGTTACGTATCTGTTCACCCTGAGCACCTTGTTAATATCTTTCAAATTAAATGTTGAACTGCACAAGAGGATTTAAACCAAATCTACATTAAATCAAATACAGTGAGCTGGAATTTAATTGGAACCTAATACATAACCAAACAAGGGGTTTATAAAAAAACATGCATTTCAATTATGCTTGTTGTAATCTGAAAGTGAACTTGACGCCATGCCTGCACTTCCATTCATATCCCCTGTAACATGTGCACTAATACATATATGGGGTTTATATAATATATTACTAAGGATATTGGAGCATGCTTCACATCAGAGTGGTGATAAGGATGATAAGACATAAATATGAAAGATAAAAGGGACACTGTCCACATTGACTGAATCTCCACGAGCTCAGAATGACAGCAAATATGTTTATTGTGTAAAAGTTTTTTTTATCACATTAGGAATAAAACTTTATTTGCTTTCACTGTCACGATAGAGGATGACACTGCACTGCTTGCCCTTTGTGTGTGTGTGTGTGTGTGTGTGTGTGTGTGTGTGTGTGATGGATGTGTTATTGTTGAGTTTTGAGGCTAGATGTATGCTTGATGGAATAACAAGAAGGTTGAAAACGACAGGATCATCTCTCTCTGTACCTCTCTCTATCTCCCGCTCCATCCCGAATAGTTGGGGGGGTCAGGGGGAGATATGGACGGAGAAAAAGATAGAAAGATTGATGGAGAGCGAGAAATGGATGGAGGGATTCCCAGAGAAAGATAGAGTGTTGTTTAAAAGGGTCAGGGGCAGGAGGGGAATGAGGGATGAGACAGCGATAATCCTGTGGATACACACTCACACACGCACACACAGAGATGGAACAAACATGGAACCCATACCTTGTGTTATGATACAGATTTCTACAGTACAGTGTGTCTGTCTCTGTGCACAGTGACACTGCATGTTATTATAAGAAACCTCTGGTTGAACAAAGTTTTTCCACTTATTGAAGTTGAAAAATAATGATTTCTTGATATGAACACATTTCTTGGATAACAAACCCAGCCATGATGGGCATAACTTTGTAAACTCCATAAATTAAAGTTTAAATTCAGCATGTGATCAGTCGTCAACTTAATCGCATTGAAACACACACGC